AGGGGATGCTGCATCTAAATTTCCAGTCCCGACACCACCTCTCTCCTGGGTATATCCTCTGCTTGTCCCAGCTGATATAAGTGAGCATCTACTTTGCCCATATTCCAAGGTCCTGTTTAGGTAACCTATGCAGTTCCCAGTTGAGACTAGGGCTCCTGTTCTCCTCACCTGTTACCCTACTTCAGGACCACGGCTCAGCCTCTCAAGGCCCCACAGCTGGGCCCTCTCCTCTTAAACTGACGTCTCAAGTGTTCTGAACTACCTGAAGTCTGGGATTCGGCTTTGCAGCAGTCTCTATTCCTGTGTTCTACCTAATTCTTGGATGAGTCCTTTAAATTCTTTCTTGTCCTTTGGTCCCTACATGAACCTGAGACTTCCATCCCTTTGAGCTTTTGGTCTGTGGGCAGCCTGGCCTGCTTCACACAACCTGTCACCCTGGTAATGGATGGCAGCCAAGCAAACAGTTTTCCGGTCAAATAGATTTAGAACAAGCTCTGTTAAAATGATTAGTCAGGTTTTTTTTCTGTGCAGGATTTACCAAGCCTTTAATATGCTTGCATTCACAAAGGTGAAAATAATACGTTGGAAGAACATCTGTATCCAAATGTTTCCTAAAGGCCTAGTGTTACACAGAACATATTTTGAAAATACTTTTAAAAAAAATATAGGATTGGATGAGGGACTCTCCATGGTCTCTTTCAGTTTTACAGATTCCGATTCAGTGATTCACAAGAAATGTTTTTGGAGAGAGTTATTGAAGTAAAAAAAAATCTGTTAGTGTTTAGTCAACTCTGTCCAAAGAATAAAGAAGCCTTGTGTTAGTTACTAGGGAGCTGTTTTCTGCAATGAAGCAAGGAGAAAGCAGAAGACTAACATTTCTTTATTTATTCAGTCATTGAGAGAATATTTATTGAAAACTACAATGTGCCAGGCATTACTCTGGAGGCTGGAATTTTAATGATGGATAAGATCAATACTCTTCCTGCCTTCAAGAACCTTAGAGAAATCAGCTAGAGCAAAATGTCCTGCAAGCCATCTAATATCTTTGCTCTGAGTCTATGAGTCACCTCATTTTTTATTTTCCCTCCCTTTTATTATAAAAGTCTCCTTTTATAATAAACTAGGTTCAAGTTTGTCATTCTTCTATAATTAAAGAAAATGGGTGGACTCTATAAGCACACAATATGCAGCAGATAAATACATGCACAGGACCACATACAAACCATATATGTAGATAAAGAGACAATCTTTATCTGACTAATGTTAAAAATAAAATGCTATCATTGATATATGTATGAGTTTTCAGAGCATTGTTCAGAACACCTGTATTAAAATAACCAGGGGGTGCTTGTGAAAACGCAGGTTCCTGGCTCCACTCCAAATATTCTGATTTAGAGGATCTCAGGAATATGCATGTTGAATTAGTACCGCATAAGATACTTAGGCTCACTAACACTTAGAAACTTTGACTATTGAGGCTCCGAGATGGGGATTGAGAGCTGGAGCTTGTTGCCAAATGGGCCTGAATTGATCAGAGGCACCCACGTGGGCTGAGGTGAGGGTTGGCAGGAAAGGAGGCAGGCACCCTTTCTCCTAGTGGGATAACGTCAACAAGCCCCTTGACATATGGTAGTTTCAAAAAGTGTTAATTCCCTTTCTTCTGACATGCCTCAAAGAAAACACAACTGACAGCTTAGCACACCTGGGGGCTTCTCACTGTTTCCTTCCCAGTTTAGTACAGTTCATTTTATTTCCATATAAACTCACTAATGAGGATATTCCTGGATTCTTTCCAGAAAGATTGGAGATCCCTCCTAGATTAATTTATAATTTGGTTTCATTGTTTATTTTTAAATTAGGTATAGGTATTAATAAAAAAAAAACCAAATAGCAGAGTACAAAGTATTGTGGGATTTTCTCACATTACACAAAAATTTAAAAGCCTACTAGTTTCAGATCAAAAGTCTAGAAACCTCCATCACCACATTTCCTGTTTGTAACTGAACTAAGTACACACAAAAGATTTTAAGAAACAGAAGAGAGAAAAAACTGAGGTAGAGATAAAGACAAGCTGTACTGTCATACTTACTCTAACATAACAGCAAAATTACTTAGAAACAAAAGTTTGTGGGAGCATTTTTAAAACAGGTGTTTGCCTTATGGCTACATAAGGATTTCTTGAGAACAAGAAGCATGATGGGTAAGTAGAATTTTTAAGTTTTTTGTTTCATTGCTATGCCTAAAATTTCACTTAATAATTTTTTGAGTCTCCAGCAAAGACACTTAAGATTTGAAAAATAAACTAGTTTATACATTATTTTTAAAATGTGAGATAACATTTAATGTAAGTGTATAAATGACTATTTTCTCTTAAAAGAGAAAACTGGGAAGTGTTTTACAATATAAAACTAGTTGAACCTGTTCAGTGTTTTTCTTTAATAATTGTGGCATGTAAAGGAATTGTTATTTTTAAAGAAACTTTCAGTGACCACACATATTCCTCTTTTGTTTTGTTCTGTTACAAAACAGGTTAGGAAATCACATTCTAATTCCTTAGAATTTAGGAACTAGACTATATCCCGAGGCCAGTGGGAGTTCTATCACCTGTGGAATGGGTTGTGACAGTTGAATCCACATTGATTAGCTGTGTCTCTTCCATGTTAATGGTTCATTCCTTTTTTATTCTTTTATGTACTTTTTATTTCTTTAATAAATGGGGTTTTTTGTGGTAAGAGAAAATACATATTTATTAAGGGTGAGAACTGTGAAATATATATGAAAAAGAAAAAAATTACATAGTTCCCTTCTCCTTAATAAAACAAAAGATAGTTCATTGTATTTACCCCCAATTTTTGTTTCAGTATATTCTACATGGCTTGTTTTTCATAACTGAAATAATAATGTACATAAAATCGTAATCCAACTTTTTTCACCAACATTTTACCATAACTATTTCCCTTTTTACAACAACTTCTGCCTAATTATTTTACGTGAATGCACAAAATAACATCTATTGGGTTAATTATAGTTTACTTAGTTACTAGTTTATTGTCAGGCATTTATGTTGTACCCAATTTTTCTTATGTTTTAAATGACAGAAAGATGAGCATCTCTATAGCTCATCTTCTAAGAATTATTTTTTAGGAAAAATTTCTGGAATTGGAATGACTGAGTAAGAGGTCATGGACGTTTTAAGCCTCATTATTAACAAATTGCTTTTCTGAGAGTGATGCCAGTTTCCTCCCTTCCTAGCTGTGTTTCCGCTTAACAGGCTGATCTAATTTTTTAAAAAAGAAATCTTTACTAAAAAAAAGCACAACATGCTAACCCATTGTTTAATATGCATTACTTTGATTATAATGAGGTCAAACATTTTTGCATGGGTTTTTAAACTGTTTATAATTCTATCCCTTGTAAATTATCTGATTATGTCTTTTGCTTAATTGTTCTGCTTACAGTACTTTTAATGTTAATATGTATGAACTATTTATAAAGATAGTATATCTCATAATTTCTGTGAATTTGCTTCCAGTGGTTTATTTGCTGGATTTTAAAATCTATTGATTGGATTGCTCACACAGGGAAGCATAAGCTGACGTACAGTTTCACGCTTCTCCTTCTTTTCCAGGTTTCATAGATTAGCAAAGAATAAAAACAATTGTTCCAGTTTTGCCAGTGACCTGCACGAAATGAACATAGCAATACTATGAACAATTGCCATGAGTTAATGGCGATGGGGAATTCGGGAAGGCCAAAGTCAGTGAATATGACATTCAGCGCTTTCCAGTATTAAGTAATTCTAATTTTATAAAGGATATGATAAAATCTCCTCCACAGCATTTTGTAATTTAGATTTTCCCTTCAGGTGTAATACAGGAACTCCTCCATTGTCAATTAAGACCTTCTATAATTCCACAGAAGAGACAAAAATAGATTCATCATGAAGCATTACAGGCTTTAAAACAAAACAAAAACCTTAATGTGAAATAAGACAACAAATCAGATGGTAATATTTTTTACATTGAGGTAGATGAAATAAAAAAATGTTTGAACATAACAAAAATGTAAAATTCCCAGTTAATTAAAACAATCTATGAAAAGAAAACCCCAAATCTTTCCTTTTCTCCTACTGATATGACTTCTAGTCACTGCATCAATAAATGTGTTGGTATCATAATTCCTACCGTGTTTCCGCAGTCACACAAAATCAGTATGAGCTAAGCCAAGTGGCAGAAACATCTCCTTCAGGCTACCATTAATTTCATTTAAACAATGACTCACAATGTAGTTACATTGCTATTTTTCTAAAAAAAGAATTTTCATTGTGTTTATTCAGTTTTCTTTTCCTTTGAGCCTCAATCACCTTTTTGAGAACAATGAAAGTCTTTCTTTTAGAAACTAGATAGGTAGGATTGATTTAAGAATCATCTTTTAAATTCAGATGTTCTTTAAAATAAAGGTAGGTTACAGATCATATTTGATTATTTAATTTAGATAGTTTGGTAGTGATTTTAAGGAAAGTTAACCCAGGAAAAATTGTCACTTAAAGGTCACAGCTGAGAAATAAATGTCCACAAATTGCTAGTTAATAATAAATATTATAGATCACTTTTCCAGGCATTTTAAATTTCATTTAATTTTCTCAGCATTCCTGAATTAAAAAGAAGGAAGAAAAATTAACAGACCTTCTTGGAACAGTTAAAAAAATAAAACCCATAGTAGTGAAAGAAGTTCGTTAGATGAAGGTTTCCCTATACCCATGCCTTCATCGGAGGCCCTCACCAAGGTGTCTATCCAATAGGAAGTAATAGGTACGTCCATAAAGGGACAGCTAAATACAGGTGAAGAGAGGTTCATCTGAAGTAGGGATTTTGCCATTACTTTAATTCCAATAGGATTTCTAAAGTTTACCAACCACAATTAAAGTTTAATTATAAAAGTGACTACAGGAATCACAAAATATTGTCTGAAAACCTACCCTCCACCTCATTCACATCCATATGCTTTCCTTGATTAAATTTAGTAAGTATTGGTTAAGGGCATTCATGATGTACTGAAAAGAGGGATCTTGACGTTATGAAGAAGGGGGTCTGAACTCCCCTTTTAGAAGTGGTTAGGGAGTGAGGTTCAATGATAAGCAGAATGTCACACGGCTAGTATGTGACTACACTCATTCCCTTTCTCCACGCTGTTTGAAACAGACATTCCAACGTGCTATATGGCTATTGTCCTTCTCTCCTTTGTGTCCTCTCTTGGACATACATCAGTCACTTCTCAAATAGCCCTTTGTTTATAACAGATATTTAAGGTTGGCAGGTTTTTATTTTTTCAGTAAAAGCATTGTCCTATCTACTTGAAAGCCTGGGGCTGGATCTGAGAGCCCCGCCCAGTGCTCCTATCTCTCTAATGCCTTCTAGTGCTGGGCAACAGGGATGAATTGTGGGGGTGGGCTCTGTGTGTAGTGACAACATGCCACGTTCAGAGAGTCAAGAATGTGCCTAGTTAGGCACCAAACCATCAGCACAGAAGAAAAACTCATGAGTTGAATCTATGGGGATTGTTATATCAGACCTTTTTCTTTGAATTTTCTGGGGTGTGTAAAATAAATACACATACACATGCATGAATGCAAGGAAGAGATAGTCACTTCTCGGACAGAGTTTGCAAGCCAAGGAGAGAAACCATCAAGAAAATCCATATCCTGTGTATTGTAAACTCATACACTTGTCTCAGTTACAGAATCCCTGAAGGAGAAACAAAGAAGACATTATATTTATTACTTTTCTACTGTTACTTGTTTAAGTAAAGGCTTCTGTAAGAATCAAGCAGAAAGACATGACATTCGCTTAGCTGAGTTTCCTTCCAGAGCACATGGAATTGTGAATTTTAAATACAGTGCCTACCAAGTACTATTGGTTTTAAGGGAGCCAGAGGTGTTGTAATTAAACCTATCTCTATTAGCCTCTGGCAGTTGAAAGCTAATAGAAACTTAAATCATGGCTTTCATGGTTGTCATTGCCTCACTAATGACTTCTTGAGGCCTTTGGCTTCTTAACAGTGTAAATAGCTAAATTCCCATTATGTGGGAGTTCTTTTTAAATTGACAAAAGCTATACAAATGAAAGTAATTACAATTAATGAATAAAGATACTGAAGATTACATTTGTTGGGCAGGAATTTTTAAGCACTTTGTACATACAATATAAGAACAGGCACTGTCTCTACTGAATAGATACCCACATGGATCTGGAAATATTCATATTGTGCATGGAAAATAACTGAGTCAGGGAAGGATGAAGTGGTGTGTGTGTGTGTGATCTCCCATTCAAGTTGAAAATCTTTACCATGTAGCTACTCAATATCTTCTCATCTCTGTGTGTTTTGCTTTGTTTTTCAAAATGGGGGTATTAATTGTTGGCAATCAAAGATTTTGAAAGATCAAAAACGTCATGAAATACAAAGCTTCTAAATAAAAATCCTCCTATATAAAACTCAAGTCACAGTAGCAAAGGAAAAAAACCTTGGGAAAAAGGGGTTCAGTAGGAATAGACTCCTAACATCAGGGGAAAACTAGAGACCATGCTAAACCAACTTTACACATTAGAAGTTAGCCTGTGGTTTAAACTGGTTATGTGAAACAAATTTACTGTTACAGTAAATGATAAACCCAGCCCTAGAGGAATGTACATTGTGGTCCAAGTTTTTGCCTTAGTGTTGTTGACATTTCATGAAACGTATAAGGTCTTTCCTAAAAGTTTTTATAGGAAATGTTGGCTTGTGAGACTGATTTAGCTGTTTGTTTATAGCTGAGAGGGAAGTTATCTTATTGCAACAATAAGATAAGACTAGTACAACTTTTTCAGTGCTTCCTTTAATTAAAAAGGTGAAGAGAAACTTATAATTGAAATATAATTTTGTGCAATGATAAGATAATGTATAGATAAAAAAATCAGTGTATTTTAAAAATAAGATTAGGGATTTCTGCTTATTGCCTTGAAGTATGCTTTTTTTTATACTGTGCTATATTTTATTTACCCAAACCACAACTATGTATTGGATATATGCTAAATACTAGATGTGAAAAATAGAGGAAAAAAACACTAAGTAGGAAGAAGTATGATTTTATTAGTTCTCTCAAGAACGATAAATTCTAGAAGCTTGTTATTATTTTCTATGTATTTATTTAATCTCTTACCCTTCCCCCAGAAAGAGAGGTATTGGAAATACGGAGAACAATATAAAAGATAACCAAATAAATAAAGGCAAAAAGAAACTAAGCAGCAAAACATACAATTAGTTCATAAAAATGAATATCATCTAATCCTTGAGAAGTATGATAGATTGTATAAAATACAAATACAGACACATGACCAATGACAATAGTCACATAGACTATAAGCATAAAGATGTTCTAGATTTTGAGGAGATCTCAGCTTCTTATATGTGAAATTACCCAATGATGTATCAAACAATATCTTCTAGTTCATAGCATCCTTATAATTAACTAATTCAATGATGTTTCATATAGTTGGTTCTGTTCCTTAAAATTAGATTTATTTTGCCCTGATAACAAAGACAGAAAATATAGAAAATGAAAGGAAAAAAAAAGAGAGCAGCAAAGAGTTTTAATTTTTATTTTCTGAATACAACCCAAAGTTTGGGCCTCTCTTACTATTTTAAGGCTGATGGTCAGCTAAGATGGAAGGGAGTGTGATATACTCTTAAGACATCTTGGGAATGTAACTAGGATATGCCCTGGTACAGAAAGTCATTGAAGCCAATTCTACCTTTATTCAGAGGTAGATACAGGGAGAAGCTATGGGCAGGGTTAAAATTTCCTTCCAAAATTAGTTGTGCATCTTTTCAGTATGTGTATGAGTGAATGGTCAAGGTCCCAAAGCATATGTCATAGAGATTTGATATTATAATTTCTACACTGGACTATTTCTAAAGCAAGGTTACAAATCACCCAATTTGGCTAAAGGTAAACTATTAATACATTTATTAAATGTTTAACTTTAAGCAACACAACTTTCTGGTTAACTCCATAGTAATAAATTAGCTGTGAAGTGTTCTTAAGCAAGTTATACAACTCTGTGCTATGCTACACTATACCATGATTTATAATTACTAGGCTGAAAGAAAATGGACATCTGCCAAAAACAGCTATTCTTTCCTTAATAATAGCTAGACAGAACAACTATTTCATGACTGCATTTATGAACATAAAACCATGTTATCGGCGTATAAGAAAAATCCATTTTTCTGTTCTCATAGTTGAAGGATGTACATTTAACAAGTAAAAATAAACATATTAAGTCTTTTAGGTAAACATTGAAAAGAAGAGAATAAAAGCACATCCCATTTTAAGCTTCTTAAAATTATTATGTGGTCTGTGAGGAGATTATTTCTGCTCACCCTGACACATGTTATTAAAACCTTAATTTTATGCAAACATATATTTCCCAGGGTTATGAGTGAGCTCATACAGCTTACTTCAACTAATGGTATTTCCTAAATTTCTTTTCCAGAGATTGTGCTCACTCTACTCAAACTCCCCAAATAAATTCTTTTATTTATAGTGGTGACTACTCCCATAAATCTAATCAGATAGCTAGCTAGCTGTTGGCACCAACTTTCTTGTATCATGCTTCCTGAGAAACAAACTAATTCTCAGTAGGTTTTTTTTTTTTTTTTTGTAAATACAGATTCATAGAAGAGAGGATTAGGGTTTGTTCATGAGAACTTTCACCAGAGCCACAGTGGCCCAAAGTGTTCCTCTTCTCTTGTAGTTTCTATTTCCCAGCTTTTGGGAGGAACGTCCTTACTCAATGGCACTGAAGATAAATGTAATAGAATCATCAACATGTCTTTCTTGGGTTGTGGATGTTTCTAGACCTCACACTTGGTCAGAACATTCCTGTTGGCCCATCATTACATCACCCTTCTTTACTGCACTTCTCATTTATTTAGTCAGTTGACACATGTTTAATGAACACCTACTTTGGGCTGAATAGGTTGCAGAAATTATGGTAGGAGCCTTATTAGTAGTAAGATAATAATAAAAAGAAAAACAATAGCCAATGTTTATTGAGCATTAAATATTAGTGAGAAACACTACTCTCTAATCTTATAACATATTTTAATTCATTTAATCCCCATAAAATAGGTACAATGAAGAAATGAGGAATGAAGTTGAAGATGAATATGATATTCTTTCTGTCCTTTGGGGAGTTAAGAGACTATTGGGGATAGAATTTTATATATAGATGATTATGTCAATACTTTTTGAAATATAGAGAGATATATAGGATGTAAGTTGACGGGGGACAGGAAACATGGAGCGAACACTTCAGAGAGAAGGTAGACTTGACAGATGGTTAGGAATGGGTAAGGTGAGAGTATTGCAGACAAAGGAGCAAGTACACAGAGACATAAAGAAACAAAATGGTAAATATGACAGCTATTGAAAACTGCAGGTGACTCAGAATGATTGGAACATGGTGTATTATTGGGTGGGCATAGCAGGCAAGTCCTAAAAGACTTGTAACCTAAAGAAACCTAAAATAACATTTTGTAGAAATAGATCAAGGTAAGGGGAGAAAAGTGTGATATCCTCTATATGTAGGGCAGAAATAGGAACCAGCATCTTCTTTTGAAAGACCTATGTCATAGAGCTCAGAAAGAAGACAAAAGGACAACCTTCTCCAGAAATCACGGAGGAGGGGAATATATGAGAACAGTGTGTGGAAGGAGAGAGCTAGATCCTGAGTGGCAGCTGATGTAGTGTGGATTAAACAAGAGTGATAAATATAAGGTCAGGGCCAATTGAACTAATATGAAAGGGGGCAGACTGACCTGAGAACAGTTTGCTTAGTATTGTTTTAAAACCTTGGACATTGAGGTATCAAAATCCTTTAAAACATGTAGACCCAACAATTCATCTTGAAGAATTTTTACCTAAAAAGAAAAACTAAGATGAGCATAGAGTTTTAGCTAAAGATATTCATCTCAACATTGTGTATATAACCAAATATTAGAAGCAACTTAAATATCTTACACTAAGGAATTATTTAAATAAATTGTGTAAAACCCATGCAGTGGAATGCAAAGCCACTCAAAGAAATGGATGCATAATTTTTAGAGGAAGAGCAGCACACAGGAAAGTAAATAACACTATAGTCAGTATAATTGAATCCTATGTCTCCATCTGCAACAATTTCTACACAGAGAATAGTAAATTTGGAAGTAAATTAAACAAAATGTTTACAGTGATTGTCTCTTGATAAGATTGTGGTTGATTCTTATCTTTTTGTTATTGCTTATCTGAGTTTATTCATTGTTTCATAGCATTCAACATGGATGATGTAACAGTTAAACTTCATTTATTTAAATTCCCCACATACAGTAACTCTAGAGAGTGAATGAATACAGTCTACTTTGGCTTTCTGAATAACCTGAAATACTTTTTCTGTATTTCTGTCCTTTGGGGAGTTAAGAGACTATTGGGGACAGAATTTTATATATAAATGATTAGGTTTCTTTAGGTTACAAGTCTTTTAGGACTTGCCTGCTATACCCACCCAATAATACACCATGTTCCAATCATTCTGAGTCACCTGCAGTTTTCAATAGCTGTCATATTTACCATTTTGTTTCTTTATGTCTCTGTGTACTTGCTCCTTTGTCTGCAATACTCTCACCTTACCCATTCCTAACCATCTTTCAAGTCTACCTTCTCTCTGAAGTGTTCGCTCAATGTTTCCTGTCCCCCATTTTGAGGACATATAATGTGTGCCCTCAAATTGTATTAAAATATGAAAGGACTTAGAACTGTACCTGGACTGTGGTTCCCTAAGTGACATGCACAAGAAGAAAAGTCTTTATTAATAAAAATCATTAATTTAATAATAGAAATCAGAAATTAATTTTTCTGTAAAGTTGCTGTATTGTGAGAGCAAAGAGGGAAACTGAGACCCATCTGACAAGTGAGATAGCATGCTGGCTCCATTTTCCACATGTTAAATCAACCATCTGAAAAGGATTATTACCAAATGCGAGATGGGGATCAGTCTCTCCCTGAAAGAGTGCTTTAAAAATTCCCTTTGACACAGCAATTCTATTCTCAGGAACCTCTTCTAAAAATAACCCATGTGTGCATAAAATGTCCAATGCAGTTTTTTTGCATTTTGTTTATAGGAGAAAAAGAGTTTAAAACATCAGAATGTTCCTCCTAAAGAAATGAGTAGATGAATTATATTACAGCAAATACTGTGGAATTCTATGCAGGTGCTAGAATTTACATACTAGCATGGGAAATATCCCCCAAATACAGTGGCGATTTTTTTAAAAGGCCAATTAGTTTAATATTAGTGTCCCACTTATGTATTAATAAGGGACCTTACATGTTATTCTACATTCCAGTGTTGCTGGAATTTTTAAAATTTACACTCAGAAGACACTTGTGTTTTTTTCAAACTAATTAAACATAAATAGTAAATAAGTAATTCTAGGAATATATGCAGTATAATACAAAACCCAGAATTACTATATTTAAAATCATTAACAAATATTATGTTGTAGAATTCTCATAAATATTTATAGGATTATGTTCTTGATTAATAAATTACCCCCCTCCAAACCTTAGTGTTTTTAAACAAACTAATTGGTAGTTCCATTACAGAAGATGAAAGACTGTTCAACTCTTCTCGATTTTCTTTTACTTTATGTAATATTTAAGAAAAATTAAAGAAAAGAAATTCACACATTTCCCTATGATTATCAGTTAATTTTTCCCTTTTATTAATTAATCCTTGAAAATCGTTTATAAATCATATATTCTATGTCTGGCACCGCAGAGTAGAAGGCAGGAATCACCCTACTCTTTGTGAAACTTACAGTATCTTGAACTAATGTGCTACAAACTTAAAGAGGAGGCAGCAAACATTAGTGGGCAGATTTTCTGGTGTTATAAGAGCCACAGACTAGTTCAAACAAAAGCAATGTATATAAGAATGTGATAGGCAAATTATATGCATATGTACACCTATATCATGAATACATATGTACATTTTATATTTAATCATCTGCATGCCTAGAAAGCAGGTGGACAACAGCGTGATGATTGCAGAGTTGGAGGGTACAGGGGAAAAGTGGTGGTGGACGGGGCCTTGACTTGGGGTGGTGAACACAATACAGTTCGCGGATGATGTGATGTAGAATTTTGCACCTGAAGCCTGTATAAATTTGTCAAACGGTGTTACGCCAATAAAGTAAACAAAAGTTAAATAAATAAACCAACAAATAAATAAATAAATAAAGCCAACCAAAATACACAAGACCACTACAGGCAGTTCAGCAACCACGACAATGTCAACAGGTATTCGAAGGAGATGATCAGCAATTCAAATGTCAAATTTGAGATAATGATTGTAAGTAAAACAGAGCAGCACAAAGAACATTTGGGTTTGGGTATTCTTTATTGGATGTTTTAAGTACAGATTAGGGAAACAAAACTAATTTTCCTCCTATTAAGGCTTTGGTTTTTCTATTTATTGTGTTTAACGTCAGTATTTGGATTTTTTTGAAAGGGCTTAAAATGGTTTTGTATTTTGGGTAGTCACAGAGAGTTGGGATTAGAAGGTACACAATCCCTGTTGTGGCTATTTACATTGCATTTCCTGAATTTTTAATTATGTGTTTACACATCTATGCCCCTTCCCCCCAACCCCAACTAAACAGAGAGTTCCTTGAGAGCAAGATGCTGTTTTCTTTATCTTTGGTGCCCTAATATAGGGCATAGCTTCTGGCACAGAAGAGATGTTTAATTAATGCTTGTTGATCACACAAATATACAGTATTGTAGAATCACAAGTTACTTCTCTGGGGTCAGCATTCATATGGGTATATGACTACTAAGATAATTAACCCAAATATATATATGTATATTGTAATATAAAAGCTTATTATAACTAGGCTCATTTATATTAGGTTAATATATAATTAGGCTAATATATGCATATACTTATATATTATATATAGATATAACTAATTTTGTATACAATAAGTTGTATAACAATAAGTTGTATGTATTATATTATATTATAAATATATAAAATCAAGCTAATTATCTTAGTAGTCTCTCATATATGTGTAAAGATTGCCATAAATAATCAAGGGCAGCTGATAGGCCATTATATCCCACAGAAATCCCTTTATGGCTCAGGAATTAAAAAAGAAGGCTGCACAGAAGAGAAAGGAAAGCATAAACAATTCTCTATTATCCATTCATGGGGATCTAAGTAACATGGGAAAAGCTCTTTATGGCCAGTGTTGACAAAGCTGCATTTCTGTGATTCCAGAATTACTGATTTATCTTAATACATAGTATACTACTGGGAATAATACAGGGAATAAGTAGTTTTACATAAATAATAAAAGCAAGCATGATTATAGTCTAAGGATGAAAGAAAGGGCAAAAATATAGCAAATTATTATTCTGGGTAATTTGGATATTCTTGATTTTGAACCAATGTTTTTATGATCAGTCACCAGCTGCCAAATTTTAGTAGCTAGACTAAAAATATCTTCTTTGTCATTAACACTAAGAATGCCTCCTTTTGCCCATGTTGAATGTAGGAACTTTTACCAATATCCATTCTGAAATCTATAAGAAGTCTTTGTCATTCAATGTTAATTTCTTAGCAGAGGATTTGTCCTTTTTTTTGTGGATAAATACAATAGTTTTAATTGTGAAAATACCCAATTCGAAACATAGGTAAGCAGCTACTATATACATATTTGATTTGACAGCACATTTTACTTTATTTATTTTTACTTTTCATTTACAGTTGACATTCAGTATTATTTTATATTCATTTCAGATGTACAACATAGCAGTTAGACATTTATATAGTTTATGAAGTGATTCCCCCGATAAGTCCAGTGCCTACATTAAGGGTATGTTTGCTTTATTTTACAGCAAACACTGGATGCCAGTTTTATGTCTGGGCAATTCTAGTCTCCTTGGTTTTAGCTCTGGTTATATCACTGATCTTCAATGTTTCCCACTATCTGGAAAAGCAGCGACAAGGTAAGACATTTTGAGAAGTAGCCATATGGGGCCTGCTTGAATTGAGATAGATTCACTGGAAAGCCACAGAAGAAGACAATTTTATAAAATGTTATCCAACAGGCTATTTTTATCTGTAGAAAATCTATTTGATACATTTTTCACCCTATTGGTCCTCTTAATTTAAGAATGTAATCATATTAGAAATGTAAAAGATTCCCAATCTTACTTTATCTCTGCCTTAAGTTACTGAGTAGGAAGAAACTGTCCTGATAAAACATATTTTTCCTCTTCCAATGGAACAACCTATAAAATTAGTCTATTCTAGAACAGCGATAAAGATTGTCTCTGATGTGTGATGAGACAATTGAAGACTAGCTCCTTAACCTTCTACTCAAGCCTACTCAAACTTCTCAGCATCAGTCAGGGCCTCTAAAGAAGGCTCTTTGAGGACAAAAAGGAACCTGAAAAAGCCATAGACGGAAACATGAGCTTGTTTTTAAACACTCCCAAGGTCCAGGAGGGCAGGTCAAGGGGACCTGCCACTGTCAGCTTTTCTTTTGAACAAGCAGGACAGCAGTTTTAACCATGAATTTTACCCTCACTTGCATTATTGAAATAGTGTAATGCCCAGTAAAAGCTCAACCTTTACACAATGTAAGCATTCAATATATATACAACGAATGCATGAATGGATTGGATGGATGGATAGATGATGGATGAATGGATAGAAAAATGATAGTGCCCATCAGTAAATGAGTGTATCAAAAAACTAGTACATTTACACAATGGAATACTATGCAGCAGAAAGAAATAAGGAGCTCCTACCCTTTGCAACAGCATGGATGGAACTAAAGAGGATTATACTAAGTGAAATAAGCCAGGGGGTAAAAGAAAAATACCATATGGGCTCACCTATAAGTGGAACCTAATGAACAAAACAAACAAATGAGCAAATAGAACCAAAGACATGGAAACAAGGAACAAACAGACAGTGACCAGATAGGAGAGGGGAGGGCAATAATGGGGGAAAGAAGGGGAAGAGTCTAGTCAAGGAACATGTATATAAAGGGTCCATGGACATGAACAACAGTGTGGGGACTCACTGAGTGGGGGCAGGGCAAGGGAGAGCAACAGGGAGAATTGGGACAACTGTAATAGAACAACAGTAAAAGAGAAGAAAAGAAAAATGAAAGGTCAACAATTTGGGGGAGGGGTCTTAATACTCAAGAACCAAAAAAAAAAAAAGAATAATAAGGGCAGAACATTTAGGTGGTAATAGACAAATAAAAAATATAAGTACATTTTCTCTTAACAGATGAAAAGAAAGAAAATGAAGTTAACTGAACTAAATTAGACCCACGTGACCAATAGAATTTGCATAAGTCTAATTTAAAACAATGGTCGGATTCTGGGGCAAGTGCTTGGGTCTCAGGAGTGTCTTCTTCAATGCTGATAATGCTAACATAAAGTATGAAGAAGAGCGCATCATTGTCATGTGGGTTTGAAAGAAAATGAGGGACACCAGAAAGGTAGCATAACTGAGGTCACACATCTATTTAATAGCAAAATCATGGATATGTCCTCAGTTTTTCTAATTCTCTGTCCGAAACAGTTTCCACCAGCACGTGCTGCTTTTGCATTTTTGACCAAATGTCCTCAATCAGGAACTCAACACTCTTTTAGGGTCTCTATTATATCGTTTCTATGCCTAAGATAAAAGTTTAGGCAAACAACACTTTTTCATTAATAATGACTTTAGCAATCACTTTAAAAAAAATTTGTTAAAGTTTATATCAGATGCACAAATGACCCATCATCAGGTATCTTTGAAAAGTTTCCTTCCTTTATAGGAAAAGAATGGGCTAAGAGCAGTACCCTTCTTTATATAATCACTTAAAATGAATATATTTAAAATTTTAGCGAAAATAATTTATGAAGGCAGATAATATTTTCACTAGAGTTAAAAAAGGTGAATTGAGAACTATAGAGGTGAAATAATTTAAGGTGTAAACCAGGACAACAATAAGCATCTGAACAATGTTCATTCTTCCATTGATTCTAGTGATAATCATTTGGAGATTTATGTAGGGTCAGGAAACAAGTGAGTTTTCCAATTCTCATTTTTGATCATTTGTATATTGAAATTTATTTATGCATATCCATACCATTTTTCCACCATACAAACTCCTTTGAGGAATTGTTTGCTTATAATAAATGGTTAGCTGATCACTGCTAAAAGACAGTAGCAGGATTTTAATTTTTTTTTTTAAGACAGATTTCTTTCTTTTTTTTTTTTTTGTCAGCTGTACAAACCATTATTGCCTCTGGCATACCACAGTGAATATATTGCCTATAAGCAGTATAGAGGGAAGTGATTTTTTTATTGTTGTTCAGTTACAGTTGTCCCAACATTTTCATTGTTACTCCCCTCTACCCTGCACACCCCTGGTCCCTCAGCCAGTCTGCACCCTGTGGTTCATTACAATGGGTCTTTTATACATGATCCCTGACTAGACCCTTTTTAAAAACAGAGAATAATAAATTGCATTCATCGATGTATTTTTCAAAATCAGTTTCAGTTCTCTCAATTGTTTTTAACATCATGGCTTTTGAAGTCAAGCTGACATTGAATTAAAACTCTGCTTTTAACATTTACCTGGGAGATCTTATACAAGTAGTATAAATTCTCTGAGTTTCAGTTTCCTTATCTACCAGTTGTTATAAATATCACCTAGACTATAGGGTTCTTGTGAAAATCATATAAATACGGTAGTCCCCCTTTCCAATGGGGGATATGTTCCAAGACCTCCAGTGGATACCTGGAACTGTGGATGGTACCAAATCTTATGTATACTATATGTTTTCTCATATGTATGTACCTATAACAAAGTTTAATGTTTATATTAAGCAGGATTGGAAATTAACAACAGTAACTAATAATAAATTAGAATAAATTACAATAAAATAAGGGTTACTTAAACATAAGCACTGCAATACTGTGACAGTTGATCTGATAACTGCGAGAGCTACTAAGTGACTAGTGGGCAGGGAGTGTTTACAGTATGAAAGGGCTGGACAAAAGGATGATTCACTGATTCACAACCCAGGTGGGACATAACGAGGCAGCTCAAGATTTAATTCTGCTATTTAGAACAGCATAAGCAATATGAATTGTTTATCCTGGAGTTATCTATTTAATATTTTTAAACCACGGTCGACCATGGATAACTGACACAACAGAAAAGAGGTACTGTTCTGTACCTCTTAGAAAGTAGTGGGGACTCAGTAGGTCAGTCCGGGGCAGGGTACAGCCCACATCACCATTCTTGGTGGCCCTGGTGCTTTCTACCCTCATTCCACAAACATCTGTTAAGAACTCACTTGGCTACATGTTATCCTATTTAATTTTAATGTCTGTAATTTCAGTGAACATTAGTTCCTCTGCCTTCTCCTCTACTCCCACCATTCCTACGTTCTCTAGGCCCCATCTCACTTCCTGCCCTCATCTCTATTTTATTTAACACACCTGTACAATCACGTCAGTTTTAGCAACAACTGTTGTTCATTTAAGTCACGTAAAGGTTCATTTTAGAGGGTTTTCTGTAAGCTTTCATGGAGTTGATTCTAAACATTAACCTATTGTAAATTATTTTATTTGAGATGTAGTGTATTCTCCTTAGGTGGTACACACAACCCTGGGTCTTGCACTTTATTAGTGTGCAAACCTAAGATTAGCCTTTGAGCAGTGTTTACTTATCCTGTCCCCTTCATTCCTGTCCTCTCCACCTTTTCTCCCTGCTGTCCTTCCCATCACCCCAGCTTCTTCCCACATCTTTTCCCAAGTATTAGTAATAACTGCCTTCCTTTCTGTTACATATGAGCAAAGAGCACTATCTTTCTTTCTCACCCAGGGATTTCAGGCGGATTGGGGATTACCTCTGCAAACTGACTCCTTTTTTGTCTTCTTGAAGATTCCTCCCTGCTTTGTCTCTGCTGGACAGGCCGGCTAGAAGAGATTCCATCCCATTAGCCAGCTTTTCTGCTGCTTGGCCTGGGAATGCAATACTCCTCTACCTGGCCTTATGTAACTTTTTATTTTTGCATCTTTGTGCTATTCTTTGTGGTTAAGAAACTTGCAAGATATGACTCCACCTTGGCAAACAGTCAGTGAGGAAGCTCTGCTTGTGTATTAAATAGCTTACAAAGACAGCCTCTATCCCAGCAACAATGTAGTATCTTCACATTCGATCAGATAGACAAGATAAGCCTCTCCTTGATGTTTTCTGTAGCAGTGCTAAGTAGAAGCTTTGAAATGCAGTTCTTCTTTCCCTCCAAAATAAATCTTTCCTTTTTTATGTGATTGTTGGTCCAAACCTGATCTTTAGGAAGATGATGTTTATTTCTTTTTTTTTTTCTTATGGGATTGCATTCATTTTATCTCCTTTAAAGCAAAAAACAAAAAACAAAAACAAAAACAAAAAACCCCGAAACCAAAAAACAAAAAAAAATCTTCATCCAATCTTTCTTCTCTGCTTTGAGAAGGTTAAAACAAATGTATGCTTTGCTCATACATCAAAGTCTTATCAGTATATCTCCTATTCACTAGAAAATTATGGCATGTTTTTTCACATTAAAAATGTATCAAATCTTTTTTTTTTTTTATTATGGAGTTTCAGCCATGTGCTGTTTTTTCTTGTATTGTGTATGGAAGGATGAACAACTATAAAGGGGAAAACATAAAAGCAAATGTTTGCTCACACCTTCTTAACCATGAACCCGAAACAAACAAGTCTTTGCATCTGAATCACAGGAGAGGCTTTTGAAAACTCACCCAGCTCTTCTCAAACAGAGTCTTGCAAATGTAACTGCATTATAGCTAAATAAGAACTGCTTTTATTGTTTTACTGATTACCATTGAAATGATTAGGGAGCTTTTAAATCATTCCAGTTATTTGTAAATAAACTTGTAAACCCTTATGTCAGAGCAAGCCCTTTTCAGGAGCTGGGCATGCTGACCTTTCTCCATAGCTGTAACCTTTAGACTTCATTACTACTCCCCTTTTTAAGGAGATCATATTCTATCAACTTTTTATAGTAAATATTGTAAAATTAAAACCACACAAGTCCCAAGCATCCAACTCTAGATAGCGCAGTTAAGTCCTAAGAATAGCAAGGAATGTGGTGGTGTCCTTGAACTTTTGAGTTCCCCCCTTCACAGTGCTTCTTCAGCATAGTTGGACCTGCTATATAATTTTTTTTACCTGTTACTCATTTTTATCTTCACACTGTTTTAGTTCCTTTCCTTTTACCTAAGCATTACATTAGTATATTGTATCCTTTACATAATTGCTTCCACTTCTTTTTCTTGCAAATCTTTTTGGTCTAAAACTCTCTTTTGCTGTTCTCCGGTGATAGTACATCCAGCTACCCTTTCCTTCTATAGAGCTGTCCAGTCACCCGTTGCCCCGGCATACTTTCCAGGCACCAGCATTCGCACTCCAACCACCGCCATGGAAGATCCATGTTGTTTCTTAAAAATCTTTGGGGAAATATTTTTACTCCATACTTATTTTTTCTTATTCTATTTAAGTAATGTCACTCTTTATTTTTGTTTTCACTTCTTTATTCTTTACCTTTTCTTTCTATTTACTGTTCAGTTGGTGACAATTCCTCTGCCAAAGGTGAGATTTGGTTATTTCATCCTATATCAAGATTTACTTAAAAATATTTTATCGTTAAAATAGCATCATAATTATATCAATTGTTTTCAGCTGACCCATTTAATGAAGAAACTTTCCAATTCAAATCAGCACAATTAAATCATGGCTTGTTATGTGATATGGATTTAGAATATAGAATATTAAATATTAACTTTGCCATTTCTATGACATTTTTACAAAAATTGCTTTATTTATCTTCTACATCTACTTGCCCAATGTAGACATTTTTGTCCTTACATATGGGTAAACTGAGAGTCAGAGTTTTAAGGTGATGCAAATGCATCCAAGAACTGCTGCCTAAATCCCATGTCTTCTGAATTCTCAGCCTGAATTTGTTCCATGATACATCAAGTTATTCTTGTGTATGATAATGCACTTTAATTCCAGACAAAGCTGAATAATTATTGATTACCTGAGTATAAACATTTCTGTCATGCCAAAAAACACTCCACATATTTGATATTTTCCAGAGTACAATTTTTTGGTCTATATTAACTAATATTTATTCTCATGCTCATTGATATTGTTTACCTTTCTCAAGCTTCCATTAACTTGTTTTGTGCAACACCAGACATCTCTACACTTCTCCCTACATCTACGTGCTTTCATATTCACAAGACTGATCTGAAGGTAGTTGAAAACAACTGCATTTTTTCATATGCAGCTCATGGTAGGGCGTTTCCTGTTGGCTAGCAGAAGAGTATTTTAGATATACCCCCAGTGGATTACATTCATCATTTTAGGTTGCATAGCTGCTCTGTGTATACATTCTGCAAAAATGTCCCACATTTGGTTCTTCACAGAATTATTCAAACACATGGACATGGGACATGTCCACTGTATCTTCCAATGTGATGATTTTGATATGTTATTCCAATAATGTTTCTCTAACAGTTAATGATCTCTCTGGAGAATAACTTAACTCTGTTGCACATAAATCTACCAAAAAATAATCTTCGAGGTTATTTGATGATTTATTCAATTATTTGGAAATATCTGTGCTGGTTCCTTACCAATACAGAGTGTTTTTCACATGTTGAAGCTGAAAGATCTCTGTTTGGTTACTATTGTGTCTGAGTCATTGTCAGAGACTTAGATAATATTGGGCTTCATTTTTATAAAAGTAAGTTCTGCAAAATTTTGGCTTTAATTTAGTGCCAGATTAAATAACATCTAATCAAAATAAAATAAATATAACATTAGATACATCCATCCAGTTCAATATCAAAGAAAATTTATTCATGACCAGGTAATACAGACTTCTTCATAATATTGGTCTTAATTATTGAAACTGTACTCTGAATTTTCCTTAATGTCCCTCAATAATTCATTATAAATCTATTATTGCCTTTCATTTAAAAAAATGTCTTGGAACTATTTTTTCAATTTTGAAAACATATATTTAATTTAAAATAAAAATATTTTCCTTCCACTTGCTTCTGAACCATCACCCGGGTTCTTTCTTTGAATCGGCACGTACTTTTTCATGGGTTTACAGTCCCACATCTACTCTCATCAGCCTTGTTACTGCAGAGCCCCGGGCTCTTTTTAAGAGTTTCTTTTAAAAGCCATTTTGCTATTTTTTAAAAAAATATTAAATTTATTGAGGTGACAGTGGTAAATAAGATCATATTGGTTTCAAGTTTATTCCTACGTATTTTATTCTTGTGGTTGTAATTGCAAAAGAAATTGGGGTTTTTTTTCATTTCTTTTTCTGAAGTTTAATTGTTAGTATATAGGAAAGTGGTAGATTTTTGTACAGTGTTTGGTATTCCGCAACTTTACTGTATTTGTTTATTGTTTCTAATAGTTTTTTGGTGGAGTCTTTAGGAATATGTCATCTGCAAAAAAGTGTCACTTTTGCTTCTTCATCCCTCATTGGGATGACTTTTATTTCTTTCTCTTGCCTGATTGCTTGGTCAGGACTTTCAGGACTATGTTAAATACAAGTGGTGAGAGTGGGCATTCTTGTATTGATTTTAGAGAAAAAGCTTTAAGTATTTCAAAATTGAAGATGTGATATTAGCTGAGGGTTTATCATATATGGTTTTTTTTATGGCGAGGTACTTTTTTCCACACCCATTTTATTGAGTGTTTTAATCATAAAGGAATGCTGTACCTTATCAAATGCTTTTTCTGCATCTATTGATAAGATCATATGATTTTATCCTTTCTTTTGTTAATGTGGTATATTACATTGGTTCACTTATGTATGTTAAACCTTCCTTGTGTCCCTGGAATGAACCCCAGTTGATCATGAAATATTTTTTTAACATATTGTTATATTTGATTTGCTAGTATTTTGTTTAGGATTTTTGCATCTATACTAACCAGAGATATTGGTATGTAGTTTGTGTGTATGGTGTGTATGTGTGTGTGTGTGTGTGTGTTTATTGTTTGTTATCCTTGCCAAGTCTTTGTGCTACGGTTACATTGGCCTCATAAAATGTGTTAGGAAGTATTGCCTTTTCTTCAACTTTTTGGGACAGTGTGAGAAGGATAGGTATCAAATCTTTGAATGTTTGATAGAATTCACTAGTGAAGCCATCTGGCCCTGGCCTTTTATGTTTGGGGAGGTTTTTGATGGTTGTTTAAATTTCCTCATTGTTGATTGGTTTATTTTGATTTTCCACTTCTTCATGATTCATTCTACGAAGGTTATATACTTCTAGGAACTTATCCATTTCTTCTAGGATTTTGAATTTAGTGGCATATACTCAGCCTTTCATAGTATTTTAGTATGATCCTTTGTATTATCTGTAATATCTGTAGTAACTTCTCATTTTTCATTTCTGATTTTGTTTATATGAGGATTTTCTCTTTTTTTCCTTAGTGATTTTAACCAGGGGGTTGCCAGTTTTATTAATCTTTTCAAAGAACCAGCTCTTTGTTGTATTAATTTTTTGTATAGTCTTTTTGTTCTCTGTTTCATTCAATTCTGCTCTAATTTTTATTATTATTTTTATTCTGCTGCCCTGAATTTCACTCCCAAACTACCAAGAGAGTAAATAAGTTATGATTGGCCCACATTAGAGATGATCATTATCTCTAGTTCAAATAATGGTAACCAAATGTTTTGATTAAAAATGTTAACTGATATTGTTAACTGTGTTAAGTTCCACTCACAACCCTTTCTAGAAGATTTAACAAATATATATCAAAACTTCTTCTCATTTGTCTATTCTGAATATCTTTCAGGTAAAATATACAGGTACTCTGAAGACTACATTCCCAGGTATGTAGAAAATAAGTTATGTATTATGATTCCCAATTAATAAAAGAAAGTAATAAATGCTATGTTGCTGATAGGTTGGGCTCAGGGATATAGTATTTGGACTAAAAATAAATGAAAAATGAGTTGTAATTACTTTTACTCTCATCTGAAAATTATAAGCTATAACATTATTATCTGCCCTAGTTACTTACTCATCCTGAGTCAATGAGAGGGCTGGTAAAGAATGGAATGGGACTCTAACTTGTTATCTCTAGGAGTAGCATCAATTTCCAGAGAAAATTATACTAGACTATGATTCAGCTTATACTGTAAAACTGTAGTCTAATTATATATAGAGTTGTATGGCCCTTAAGCATCAAGTGTGGAAAGAAATCTGGCAATACATAATAAAAGTAAAGATATGTTTACACGCATGCATTGATTAGGATACTTTGTGGTATGCTGTTTCTAGGGATAATGTCAACCACTAGAGAAATGTGATAAATCAGCTCTAAAATAATGTGCAGTTATAGGTACAACTTATTCTCTTGAATACTTATTGAGCTAGTTGCTGAGAAATTGTATAGTGCGATACTTTTTTTTTTTTTTACAAAGGGTTTATGGTGTGAGTCATAGTGAAGAAGTTTGATTTTCTTAGGCAGTATATTCTGGCCCAAATGTTTCATTAGACTGGAGATTTCTCTTTTGGATAAAAAAAATCTAAATACAGAAAATTTTACTTCTCCATATCTTTCTGAAATGGTAGACTGATAGACTTAAAGATCTTTCAAAAACACAGAGCTTTCTCAGTCAGTAGGATAAGATTATAAACCTCTGAAAGGTCTGTTGTTTTTTTCTTCTCCGTGTGGAAATGTCTCTGGCAGTTTCAGGATCTGGGCTACAGGCAGATGCACACACACATGCGCGCACACACAACTTACTTTTATAAGTACTCTTGACCTTGGATTCTATAACATAATTTTCAAGTCATTAGCTCAAATCAAGAGTAATTTGCTGACTTGGTTACAAAAATGTAACAAAGAAAATCTGACATAATTATATATAAATTAATCTGACAATTGATTTGATACTTGTCACTTGAAGGGCAATTAAGATGCAATATGATAGTCTCATGATTTGATCATTTTGCTGAAAATTGGGTTGGTAGTTCGGGCATGAAGATGGTAAGAGTCAGAAGGGAAAATTGATAAAATACCCATCTCAAAGCGAATAGCCTCTTAGCTGTAGGGCAAATGCAAAAAAAAGAGGTTGGCTCTTTTACAACATTTAATATAATTCATTCAACAAATAAGAACTTTGCTAAACATAGGGATACAAGGATGGAAAGGTGCGGATTCCCTTAAGGGTTTAATAATTAATCTATTGTAATGAATCTCCATTTAGGCAAAATTTGATTATACAATGCAGATATTATCTATAAAAAGCAGTTGGCATGTTAATTCACACATTCGTGTATATACTTCACAACTTGTCTATTTCTGATTATGTACTTTGAGAGCCAAAATTAGTAATGGCTTTAAATAACATTTATTCACTCATGGAGCCCAAACATATATCTGCTGATTCACAGAATGTATATTAAGCAAATCTAGTTAACACTTACCCAAACCAACTTCTGGAAGACCCTAACCTTGCTCTTTCCTCAATATGACAACTTTCCAGTCCCTTAAAATACCTTTACTTTTATAGAAGTATCTTTCATTTTTATTTGGATATTAGAATGTTACATTTATATCATATAATTTGGGAACTGAAAAGAACAATAGGAATTAAATAGTTTAATTTCCTTGATTTATAGACAAGTATAATACTTACTTGTATCAGAGAATTTATGCCCAAAGTCACCCAGGCAGAAGTAATGACTTTTTAAAAATTGAATTTAATTATTTAATATACTTAGATAATAAAATATGAAGACATTTTTCTAAAAAAGACTTCACAATAAAATAATAGTAAAATATAAATAACAATTTTAAAATATAAACTAGAGAAAATATATGTAAAAATAGGAAATTTGGACCCTAGTAAAAGACAATAATATTTTAAATTGTGGAGTGTAATTAAATGTGCTTATTGGTTAGAGGACTATTTCAGACAGTCTCTGAGCAATGGAGAATCTGATCTAGCCCAAAACTCAGAAGTGCACTGGCCTCTGGGATCTAAGCTTATTTATGAATTTATTTTTAATGATAATTAACCTTCCATGTAAAAACACTGCCAAACACTTGTGCTTGGAATTTATTAAATATCTGCAATAGACTGAAGCTATTTGGCATTTATAAATATCATATATATAATAAGTATCATATATATACATATATTAATTTATTAGGTAAGTGCTTCTGAATAATATTTTATTTGAGATGATTAATCATCTGAGACCTGCTTGTAGACTCAGGACACTGCATTATAAGTCACATCTTATTTTCATTCATAAGGAAAGAAATGATATTCATTTTTTCAACATGATTTATCATTTGCAGATTGTATCTGCTGTCTGTGTGGGCTAGGAAAATAGATGGATTGCCTTATTAAAAATTCTTTACCTTTTGTTATTATATTCTCTGCATAGCCGGAGGAAAACCATGAGCAGGGTCCCTTCCGTATCACAATATTAAGCTATATTGAAATACAGATAGAAAGAAGGGGTGCGAATGAGTTCCTTTGTTATAAGATAAGCAAAACACAGGCCCGCATCTGGGCTTTTCAATCCATTTTACCTAGATATCATTTGATCTGTAATTTTTTTAAGGACATCTACTTGCTATTTACATTTACTGTCTTCTTTCAGAAGCATGGCTAGTAATATAGATGGTACGCCTTGAGCTAAGAGTTCTTTTTTCTTTTGTTGCAATTCCTACCAGCTGTCGGTGATACGTGATATCAAAGTTAAGGCAGTTTTCTGAAATGTCACTCTCACTACCTGATGGGTCTCTGTTCTTACACCGCTATTGTGAAAGCTGGTCTCCAGGACCAATTTTGCTGTCTTGTGACAACGGTGGGATGTGTGCTGTAATCCTTAAAGGATTACTCAGATGAGGCTGTAAGGAAACTTAATCAAACATCAAGAGCAAGTAAGATTCAGGGCCTTAGGGCCAGACTTGCATTACAATCCTAGCACTGCCAGCTACTGTCTCTGCGTCTTTGGAGAATTTACCTCTGTGAACTGTGAATTCCTTATATGCACAGTGGGGATAAAAACAAAATGCGTCTGAGGGTTGAATGCACATGGGCATAAAGAAAAGCTTTAATAATTGGTAGATAATGTTGATATTATGCATAAGGTTAGGGAAAATACGCTAACCTGTCTGAATCTTAGGCTTCTCACCTGTAAAGTGGGGAGTGATAATAGTATTTTGGTAGAATTTTGCTGGATCTTTGATATAATGTATGTAACTCAGCACAGCATGAGTGTAATAGGCAATCAATCATTTTATTGCATCTGCCAATATTTCTTTGGCTTTTTACTTTTTATACATCCCTGTCAATTAATATTTACTTTGTAAACATAGTTTTAGGGGATTGTTCGGAGTGAAAGTCTGGTCAAGTAAAGAGGCAGTACATCATGTAGTAAAAGCACAGATAACCTAGGTTCTAATCCCAGTTCTGCCCGTTACAACTCTCATGAACTTTAGCAAATATATGACCTCTCTGGGCCTTAGATTCCTTGCCTTTAAGATAGGGATACTTTAGTGCTTATTTGGTCAGATTATTGTAAGAATTAAATAAATGAATATATAAAATTCACTTCAGGTAGCAACTGACAAACAGGTAAGTACTAAATAAGTACTTGCTATCATTATTTCCTGAGAGAGTTCCAAAAAATAACTAACACTTCAAATTCATACACACCCTGATGCAGCCATGCTCTCACACTTGGATTCACTCAGTTGTGCATAAACATATCTACCTTGATTGGCCAAGGCTGAACAAGAACAAGTTTACCCAATGTCAAATTTAACTGAGAAATTAGTTAAGAACTATGTGTAAAGTGGGTTCTAATGTTATTTTTCCTTATTATAGGGAGGATGAGTATTATGCTGAAGACATACCAATATATGGTAACTTAGATAATGTGGTGGTCCCAGGTAAGTTTCATTTATTCAGAAATTAATTTACCTATAAATCAATACACGCCTCCCCCCCCCCCCCAGTTAATTCCACAAAGAATTTGAGGTGGCTTATTTTTGTCATAATATCATTTAAATATTCCAAAGATAACCATAAATTCAAGTATGTTTAGCATATCATTTAGTATGTATTTCCAAAACCACACATCATAAATGTGTCACAATATTAGGTGTAAATTAACATCCTGTTTCTGTATGCCTTCCATTTCACTCTAGTAGTAATGAGAACACAGGAAGACTCTATTACATGAATTTTGACACACATAGAATTCTCTGAAATACTATTTCTAGAACAGAAAATAACCCATCCAGGGAAACAGTGCTTTATGCACCATATACAAAAGCAAATCTATAGTGAAATATCTAAAATAATAAATACATTTTCTGGTTTCCCTTGTTTTAACTCATTCTCTGTAAGCACAGAACCTGGGGCTATTTCTACAGTGGGTAGGGAGAGAGAAGACCTAAATCATCCCTGAGTGGGTTATATATTTTTGTTCTTAGGTGACAGACACTCATCAATTCCCAACATGTTATTACTTGAAACATCCCAACCACCCCCAAAAAATACCCCACATTCCTCCAAACAGACAACTGCAATCTGATCCCAGAGCTCTGATGAGAGAAGCCGGGAGGGTAATGCCAGCATTTAAGGCCACCCTTGCTTTACAAACACCTCACTTATTCCACAGCAGGAGAACTCGGGCTGAGCCCCTGTGGATTTCTGAGTCTCCAACACAGAGGTTTCCAGGAGTGGACTAAACTGATCTGACTCTCCATATAGCAAAACAGTGTGGAATTCTTTTGAAGTTAGGAATGTGAGAGTGTTATAGAATTCAAGAATTTATAGAATTATTGTCTATCTTCCATTGTCAAGTACCCTCTAATCCCTGCACTCTGAAGAATGAGGAACTGCTTTTCAGGAATGAACTATTAAAGCAAATTTGCCCTCCTGTTTCACCTTGCAGAATCACGGCGCTCCCCTATAATATTTGAGGACTCCCTTTCTTATGTACCCGGTGCCTTGAAGCCCGCCATACCTGTAATTATCTCCATATTCAAGTGAGCACACAGGTCACTCCTGCAGGTTCCGATTTAGTATGTGTAGGATAAGGCGTAGGAATCTGCCATCTAACAAACCTCCCAGGTGATTCTAATGCATGCATTCCACGGACTAGGCTCAAGAAATACCATCCTAGGGACCCTTTCTTTTGTGGTGTTTTCAGAAAGGGTTGAATAATGATGAGGTACCTTGTATTATAGTAAAGATACTATTTTTATTGTGTTCAGATTGGGGCAGTTCACAGTTCTGCCAGGTTACTGGCCATCCTACCAGTCACTAACTCTCTATCCTCTCCCTTTTAAATACATGTCTCTGGGGTAAGAAAGGCATGAATGATTCAATAAGCGCATCCTCACAGGCTGAAACGAGTGCCTGTCTGCCGGCTTGTGGACACTGCACAAGATCTCCAAGTACTTAAGAGTCAGCATGAGACAGCCCGCCTTCAGAACAGACTGGCTGGACTGTCCTGTCACTGATTTATGGAACAATTATAATCTAGACCACATTTTTCAAAATAGGACTTAAGTTTCAGAATGCTTCGGGGAAGTTTCTTGTTCACAGAAAAACACTACCAAATTGTATGTAATCATCAATGCGGGCACACTATGCATTATGCTACCATGCATCATTTGCAATCATACTTAAATAGAAGAGAACACAGGCAAAAATTTAACTCATGGGATCTCTAAAATATCTAAATGGTAGTTTGAGATTGTCATTGCCTACAAATGACTATGGTCTAGTCCTTATCCCAAGTGATCTCCTTTTGTCTTACTGTTAACACTGTGGGGCAAAGACTTCACCATCTGACCTGCAGAGAACAGTTAGTGCGTCCTTATCTCTTTGCATCTCCACGAAAAAGACAAATTAAATGATTTTTGTGAATTTCACATTTACAGCTAAATATTGTTCGGGTCATGTATTTTTACTTATGCCAGCATATTTTGTTTTTCCATTGTGAATCATCATCTTTTCAACTCCTAAGAACCAACGGATGAAAATTGCTATGAACAAATGAAAGCCCGCCCAGAGAGATCTGTGAATGAACTGCAAGAAGCCACCCCACCCGCACAGGTTAGTTCTGTTTTCTATGTCAGGTGTCAAGTTTAGTCTAGAGCACAGCACAGCCACAGGTGTTGAGAGCAGAAAAGGAATGCGTTCTGATGCACAACTGAAGCAGCTGTTAGGAAGTTTGCCACCTGAATGTGTTGTGTTCTAGGACCTGATCTCTAAAGGGAAGCTCAAAGGCAGGTAAACATTACTTGGACACACATTCAAAGAGTCAAAATTGAGTGCAATTACAAAGGCAATAGATTTAAATGGAAAAGTTGATTCTCTTCCTACATAATCAATTAAGCATTTTACTTTCAGATTGAAAAAATTGTGTCACAGAGATAAATATAAAAGTTGACACATGTATAATGCTTAAAGGCCTAGATGTTAGTAATTTATGGGGAAACAGGGAGAGAGAGAGAACTTTAGTTCAATGGTAAATTAGCTGGATAGAAAAGACCATCCTTCTATTTAACAGGGCATGAGCGTAAATTTTCATACAAGTCCTATGTCTTTGGTCTTGCAGCAAGAGATTTACACACAGTAAGTGGGGATAAGCAGAGTGATAGTTTAAACAAAAACATATAAAAGCCCTAGAAGAAATGAATGGTTTCTTCTTTTTCTACCACAATAAGCTCAACCTTCTCAGACTGACTTCATCAAAAGCCTTTCACAATTCTTAGTCTACCTGCTGCTAAAGTATAAGTTTACTTAAAATAGTTCTTATTCCTTCTTCTCCTCTCAGATTTTGTTCCTTCAATGATGTGCACTCTTGCTACCATCTAGAAATAGCCATGGGGCCAGTACTTCCAATGCAGTTGTTATGTGTTAGGCCTCGTTTTATGTCTTTATATGCATTATCTTCTCAGATTCCTATGAGGGACGCAGCACTATTGGAGTTGCTTTATTTGAGTTGCATTGAGTTATTACTAAAGTGGAAATTTTGCAAAACCTGAAAATGTCTTCAAGTCTGCTATTTTATAAATTACATCATCAAAGATACTCTAAGGGGATTAGTTTTTATTCTATTACATCCTCCTCACAAATTTAGTTTCACAGATTAGAAGTAATTTCTTTATATTCGCTTAATTCCATTTTGTTAGAATGATCATTATCTTCAAACATACTGCCCAGTTTCCTACTCCAATGCTTACTTTGTTACTATAGTCTGTTACAAAAGTATCAGGAATCTGCAATATTGTGCATAAAGCTTGATGGATGAAGTGTTTGTTGGAAAAATGGAAATAAGTTTCTTGCCCTTCGAAAATAATGTGTACAGTTCAGAACTTGTAATTTCAGTATCTCAATCTTCTTTTAACCCGGAAGAGTTTATCAGCAAACCTACTAATAAAATGAGCCCACAAGCATTCTCATATCCTAAAATATTTGAGGGACACAAATGTGAGCTTGGTCCTTTCCTCTTCATGTCAAAATCTCTCATCAGTCTCTCCTTTCCCTCTTACGTCAGAAATACGCTCTCTCCTTTCTAAAGCCAGTACTGCTCCTTATGCTCTTGACCATTTCTCTCATTTCTTTCAAGGTCTTAAACATTAAATTATTTATCTCCATTTTTCACTTTTTAAAACTATTTTTCCATGGCTGGGTGGCTCATCCCATACACCAAAGAGTTGCAGGTTTGATTCCCAGTAAAAGCACATACCTAGGCTGCAGGGTTTGATCCCTGGTTGGGGGCATATGGGAGGCAGCTGATTGATGTTTCTCTCTCACATCATTGTTTCTCTCCCTCTGAAATCAACTTTTTCAAAAAACTATTTCTATATACCTACCAACATGCACAAATCACCCTAATACTTAAGAATAAAACAACAAAATTTGACTTCAACTTGTTTATCTCTCTGACTCCTACACTGATTTTTACTTTACTGTTTTCATTTCTCTCCACAGATAACCATTCTTTTACCCCTCGCTATATATATTCTACCCATGCCCTCAACTAAAGTAACTTTGGAAATCACAAGTGACTGTGCCATGTACAATTTGTAGTTCTTTCCCAGGAACACAGTTTTTGAACTCTGCAGCACTTGACAAAGTTGTCCAACTGTTGATCAGATGCTTTAAGTTATAAGGGCAGAAACCCAATTCAAACCACTTTAGCATACGAAGAACACTGCCGGCTCACATGACAAGGAGCTATATAAGGGTGTATTTTGTTTTTGAGGTGACCAACTGTGAGGACTCTCTTCGTACCTCCTCCCTCCCTGCTTCCGTCTGTGACCTATTTCGTTCTTTTCTTTCACCACAAACTCCTCCACTGAGGCTGGGCAAGCCACTGCAAGTCCCAGATTTTCTTCCTCTCAGCTCCAGGAAACAACACATGTTTTATTCCTTGCACCTGTACATCAACCCCAAATGTGCCATATAATTGGTTCTCCTGAAACCACATGTCATCTATTCTTGGGCCAACTTCTGTTGCCAGGGGGAAGGATGGTGTGGTTGGTTCCAGCCTAGGTCACATGCTTAGTTCTGTGCTGGCCCTGCAGCACTTTAATCTAGGACCAGCTAAGGGTGAGGAATTTCCCAAAGGGAGATGAAGGGAAAATTTTTTTATATTAAAAAAATAGAACAAAGTGCTGGACAGACGCAACAGATACCTATCCCTTTGCAATGCTGAGTGTCTTCTGGTTATTTCTGAACATCCGTGACATCTCCTTCTCTTTCTGCCTGAGCAAAGACAAAGGAGTTAAATGCACAAAGTGTATTCAGGGAGCAGTGAATTGTTCAGTTTGCCTGACATACAGAGTTTTTGCAGGGGAGTAGTAGGAATCCAAATTTAAAAGGTGAAGCAGTATCAAGCATGGAAAACCTTCAATGTCAGGACATGAAATTCAGACTTTAGTATATAGGGTAAAATTTTGGAGAGAGGATGGTCAAAATATGAAAATTTTGCCGTACGAAGATAATTTGAATACAATATATAAGTTCACTGGCAGAGGGAAGAGACTAGAGCAAAGATACCAGTTAAGCAGCTATCACAATTTTCTAGAAATGGTTATTTTAGGAATAAAAAGTCAGCCAAAAATATCAGAGAAATTGTAAGTACAACCATCTTTTCTGCTTGGTAGAAAATATAACACATTTAACATTTAACATGAAAATGAGTGGAGGAGGGAGAGTTCAGTTAATCCAATGTTGCTTCCTTACCCCTGCCCTCACAAATTGATATAATTTTGGCCTAATCATAAAGATAAATCCTTAATACAGAAACTTTTGGTTTATTCAATAGCTGTCCCAAAGTTTTATCCTGTAAATTCTAATAAATATAATCCCATACCTTACTTTTGGACAATGGTTATAGCTTCCATATATATTACCTTTATTTACTCATAACACTGTAATTTAGTTGCTTTCATTTTATAAGCAAGAAAATTGAGACTCAGAATAGTTTTTTAAAACAGCCCAAGATCCCATGGTTATCACATTACAGAGCCAGAATTCAACCCTCAGCTTTCCATCGCCAAATTCAAGGTCTTGCCTTTCAGCCTATTGTTTCCCCAAGTTTCCCTAGTCTCTAGCTCTTCCTGTTCTAGTACTGACCCAGCACTAGACCAGAGAGAACTACCAAACCCTCTTAGATGTAAATAAATATCTCTAAGGCCAACCCAAAATAAGCTCAAAGGGAACCTGAGGGGTAAGCAGAAGGAAGAAAATAATAAATATGGGAAATGTACTTTTTGCCAAATACTAGTCATATAAATCGACACTATTATTTTTATAGTTCTGAATCTCAAAACTGTAGAATAATTGGGGACTTTTGTGGAAACCATTAAATGACCAATTATTAAGTTACTTGGTAAGAGCAACTTAGGGCAAGCGCTCCCTAAGGTAAAGGAAGGGGAGAGGCTGGTAAGAGTCCATCTAAGTATAGGAAAGAAATAAAACTACACAAGCAAAAAGTTTATATAAGCACTCTTTTCCACTAAAAAGTCTTGAATTGACTAATACTTTTTATCATCATTCTGACAAATTTGTCAGAATCAGGTAGGTGAAGTCCAGAAAGCAATCTTCTTGCTTTTCATAGTGTTTTCCTATGAAAAGTGTTAAAAAATGGACTAACAATGAAAAACTAATATGCTTTTCTTTTTAGGCAATCAATGAAACACAGATGTTTTACGCCCAACTGAATCACAACTATGAAGGGAAGCGCAGAAAGCCCAGGAAACAAAATACTCATTTGTCAGAGAAGAATGGAGAGGAACTGTTACATGGAACAAATGCCGGCCTTCCTAAGACTAGCCTGGTAGACAGTTTCCCACCTGACAGCCAGGCAGTAGAGGAAAACATTCATGATGATCCTATTAGACTGTTTGGATTGATTCGTGCAAACAAAGAACCTATAAACTAGCTGGACTGTGATTCAGCTCTTAGTGAAGAAGATTGTGAAGGAAAACAAGATCTCTACATATGACACAGCATGATTTGAGAGAATAACAATCCAACCATTTGTTGGTGGGATGGTGGTGTCCCTCTCATCCAGGGCTTACGTTCTTGGACACTGAATGTAATGTCATGAAAATTGTTATTTGAATTAGTTATTTGCATTCACTTTTAAAAAGTATAACAGAAAAACGTAAAATAAAATCAAGTTTGTAAACTGAGCTTGATAACGTTGCAGCTTTACCAATAATACTTAATGCTCAGTGAAATAAAATCAAAAATATATTTCAAGCATTAAGTGTGTTCTGGACCATATTGGAAGAAGAATAAAAGTCAATTTTTAAAAACAATTTTACTTTTCTAACCAAGTTGAAACATGCTAAAATTGGAAGAAGTTTCTTTTTTATCTTTTAATTTTTATTGAATGAATTGGGGAGACATTGGTTAATAAAATTATACAGGGCTCAGGTGTACAATTCTATAATATATATCTGTGTATTGGCTGTGATGAACACATACCAAGTCAAGTCTTCTTTCATCTCCATTACCCCCCATTTACCCTCTTCTACCTCCCCCCACCAACCTCTCCCTCTGGTGAACATTATACTGTTGTCTGTGTCTATGAGGGTTTTTAAAAATTCCTTTCATTTTTTTCATCTTGTTCCCAAACCTCCACCCCTCAAAGAACTCTCAGTTTTCTGTATCTATGAGTCTGTTTCTATTTTGTTTATTCTGTTCGTTAGATTCCACATATAAATGAAATCCTATACTACTTGTCTTTCTCTGACTGGCTTATTTAACATAGCATAATACTCTCCAGATCCACCCATGTTGCCACAAAAGGTAAGAGTTCCTTCTTTTATTACAGCTGAGTAGTATTCCACTGCGTAAATGTATTAATGTATTACATCTTTTTTATTTGTTCATCTGCTGATGGGTACTGGGCAAATCTTGGCTATTGTAAATAATGCTGCAAGGAACATAGGGGTGCATATACTCTATCAAGTCAGTTTTTGGGTTTCTTCAGATACATTCCCAGAAGTGGAATCACTGAGTCATAAGGTAGAAGAAATGTCTGACTGAAAGGCATGGGAGACATTCAAATACATTCCTAAGAGAAGTGGGTTCATCTTCTTAAGAAGTATTTTTTCCAAGTAGAAATATATTTATTAGTTTTAAAAATTATTATAAAATTAATGCATGTTTCTTGTAACAATAAACAAGCACAGCATAAAAATATTTAGAAATTCCACTCTTCAGAAATAATCATATGAGCAGTATCTTATATATGCTTCTAAATATTTTTCTGGGCATGCCCATGTACGCATATCAATTATTGTTTTAAACAAAAAGGGGAGTGATTACTGTACACATGTTATTTAAAATTTTTTCACTTAACAATATATTGTGAATTTATTTTCACTGTGATTTTTAACTATAACTTAATACAGTCATATATTTTAATTTTAATGTTTGCATAGCATCTCATTGATGAACATATCAGAATTTATTTAAATAATTTTGAAGTACGTTTAGCTAATTTCCAACTTCTGTTTTCTGAGTTTACAAATGATATTGTAATGACAACGCATCTCCACACATGTCTGGTTGTCTGACTTCTTGTGTAGGAAAGGAATTGCTGCTTTAAAAGATGTGCCTATTGTGAATCTCTATAGAATACATTACTGAAAGGTCAACAGTTTGGTCAAAATATGTGTTCAGTTTAAGTTCTGATAAGCACTCCCAAATATCCCTCCAGAAAGTTATTTTAAAACATTTATTTTCAGTTATCTTTCTCCATTTGGAATAGGAGTTTAATTGGGTCTCAAATCATCACTAACCAGGATAATTGGGCTGTCAGTCTTGCCCTCTGACCAGAGCTTAATGGATTTTAACCATTCTTTCTTCAATTCTGTATTGAGCTCTCACTGTAACTTAGGCATGAAGTTAGATACTGGTATGTAATGATGAGGGAAACTTATAGAGACCCTGCCCCCATGGAACTTGTAGGCTAGTAGAAAAGACGAGTATCAGGTTAACAAAACAAGTGTAGCTACTAGTAGTAAAAATACTAGTAAGAAAACAGAAGGATGAGAAATAATAATGGGGAGAAAAGCCACCTCTGAAGAGGAAAAATTTAACCTGAGAACTGAAGAATGAGAAGGAGTCACCCATGTAAAGAGAGAGGAAGGAAGGGCACGGTGTGTAAGAGTTCTATCCACATTTGTAAATGCCTACTTCAGTCAATAATTGTTTCCCTTATGAATCTGTATAAAATTAAATGCCAATAATTTAAAGTAAAATATTTGAAGTTGTCCACAATGCCATAGGAAATGCAAAATATAGTAATATCAAAGGGCAGAAGAAAAGGAATCACTTTTTTAATTGCAGGGAAGAACCAAAAACACCACAAGCTATAGAATTAGTAATTAATTAATAATGACTTATTGACTTTAAGTTTTCCTCTCAAATTAAAATATTTTGCTTTCATATGTTTATATTATTTTATTTCTCTATATACCATCGTTCAGTGAAAATAAAGTTTGATTGTATTTTCAGCAGTTATTTTTTCCTATAAATATTTTACATCATTCACTTACATTATTTTCCTAGCCCCCAAAGATATTTAAATTTTTTGCTTCTGGTTTATACCATTTAAATTCCACTCAATAACATTTTTAGTTTTATGTATTACGTATATCTAATGCTGATAATTGGGATGGTTTTTAATTACAAATTTAAATTCTATAATAGATATAAGGCTATTCAAGTTATCTGTTTCTTATAGGGTAAATTTTAGTACTTAGTGCCTTTCAAAGAATTTCTCTCTCTTACCTATATTGATAAATTTATTGGTATAAAGTTTTTCAAAATATTTTCATATTATCCTTTAAATATCTGTGGAATCTGTAGTGATTTCAACTCTGATACTAGCAGTTTGTTTCTATTTTTCATGATCTATCTGGTTTTACCAATTGTATTGATTTCCTCAAAGAACCAGTTATTGTTCATATGATTTTTCTATTGTTTTTGTATTTTGCTTCATTGAATTGTCCTCTGATCAACATCATATTTTTCTTCTGTGTATTGTGTGTTTCATTTTTAAACATTTTTTAGCTTCTTAAGGTAGAAGTTGAGGTCATTAATATGAGACGTTTCTTCTTTTCTAAAATAATCATTTAGTTTCATAAATTTCCCTTTTTAAAACCATTGTTGAAATTTTCCAAGATGGCACAAGAGTAAGTAGAAGCTACACTAACCTCTTCCCAGGGCCAATCAGGAATTACAACTAACTTGTAGAGAAATCACCCTGTACAACCAACTGAATACTGGCTGGACAGTGGCTTTATGACCAGAGACAGACAGACAAAGCCACTTCACCAGAACAGGAATGGTAAGGACTGCAGAGAGGGCACCAGAGGGCTTGCAGGGCTTCCACTGGCAGCAGCTGAGGTTCCAGAGGGATATTTCAAAAGCCAGGAGGTTCCTACTGAGACCCTAATCTGGGCTCCACAACCTACAGCACCAGAGCCGGAAAGGAACTCCGATAACATCCAGCTGTGAAAAGCAGCTAGATTTCTCTCTGCCAGAGAGAGGTGGCTGGAGATGCAGAGAGCTTATTAAAGGGCCAACACACAAAATTTCATTTGTAACCACTCACCCTGGGCACCGGTAGAGGGAAGGCAAAATGAAGTAGAGATGCTTGGGGGCATTCTGGGGTTGGTGGCTCTGGGAAAAGAACTGAGGGAACAGCCACCAGGATCCCTGTGCTGAGTCATTCCCCACACTGCAGAAGCCACCTTTCTCAGGCAGAGCACTCCTCTCTAAGTGACATCAGCCTGAGGGGAAGCAATAGCTCTGCCCATAGGAATTAATCTGTCCCAACCTGTGGAGCTTAAGCTGTGCTGGTGATTACAGTTTGTTTAGTTTAATGACTAAGGTGGAAAATACAAAGAATCAACCAAAATGGGAAGACAAAAAGACTAAACCCCCAATGAAAGAACAAGAAATTCTCCAGAGGAACTAGATGAAATGGAGCCAAGCAATTTATCAGGAAGTGAATTTAGGGTGATGATTATAAGATTAATCAAAGACATGAAAAAAGACATAGAGACCACAAAAAAGGACCAGTCGGGAATAAATAATATAATATCTGAAATAAATAATACACTGGAAAGAACGAACAGTAGGTTAGATGAAGCAGAGGATCAAATCAGTGCTGGGGTAGCAGTACGTATATCTGATGAAATAGACTTTAAAACCAAGGCTCTACTAAGAGACAAAGAAGGGCACTACATAATGATAAAAGGACAGTCCAAGAAGAGGATATAACCCTAATAAATATTTATGCACCAAACATAGGAGAACCTAAATATGTAAAGCTAATCCTGATGGACAGAAAGGAAGAGACCGACAGAAATACAGTCATAGTCGGACATTTTAACACCCCATTGACTTCAATGGATAGACTTTCAAGGCAGAAAATCAACAAGGAGACAGTGGCCTTAAATGATACACTAGATCAAGTGGATTTAATTGATATCTTAAGAGCATTTCACCCCCAAACAGCAGAATATACATACATTTCAAATGCATATGGAATGCTTTCAAGGATAGACTACATGTTAGGACACAAAACAAGTCTCAATAAATTTAAGAATATTGAAATCATATCAAGCATCTTCTATGACTACAATGCTATGACACTAGAAATCAATCACAAGAACACTGAAGAACACACAGACATGAAATTTAAGTAACATACTATTAAAATATGAATGAGTCAACAATGAAATCAAGGAAGAAATCAAAAGATACCTTGAAAAAAAATGAAAAGAGGATACAACAATCCAAAATCTGTGGGTAACTGTGGGTAACTAGGAAAGCAATCCTAGGAGGGAAATTTACAGCATTAGACATATCTCAAAAAACAAGAAAAAGCTCAAATAAACAACCTAACTTTACAAT